GAGACACACAGACCAAAGTAGTTGTAATGGTTTTGTGGTACAACTGATCTGTGCTTCCTGTTTGTTTCATATATATATATATGTTATATATATTATATAGTCTTAACATTTAATTAAAAAATAATCCATAGGTATTGGGTGATTCATATGTAGCTTTCTATGCTATAGAGCATGTAGGGGTTGAATGAGAAGCGTCGCCCACAGGCTCCAAGTATTTGAACACTTGGTCCGTTGGTGGTGCTGTTGACATGGGACCTTTAGGAGGTGTGGCCATGGTGGAAGAGGGAGGGAGGAAGTTCCTGGGGGAGGGCTTGGAGAGTTCCTAACCTTGTTCCACTGTGACACTGTTCTCTCTACTTCCTCCATGTGCTTGGAGCTGTGAGTGCTGGGCTTTCTGCTCCTTCCTCCTCCACTGCCACGCCTCCCCCTTCCATGATGGACTCTTATTCCTCTGGAACCAGAAGCCAAATAACCTCTTCCTCCTATAAGTTCCCTTGTCATGGTGTTTTATCACAATAGAAAAAGTAGCTGATATGGGGAGCCAGAGGAAAAAGAGGAAGCTGATACTGAAAAGCAGTGCAAGTGAATGGAGTCCTTGAGGAGAGGTCATCGGACAAAGCATGAGTCAAGGCTTGAGCAGAGGTCACTGCGGACTTAGGGTGCTTACTCAGCAGTAAGGAGCATGGCGTTTTCTGAGAAGTGAAGCCCCGTCTCATAGTTGCACAATGAACACATTCTCGTGTTTCATTTTATGTCAATGGGACATAAACAAAGGAATGTGTGTACATGTTGCAGTTCTAAGACTACCATCACCAGGTAGGGAATGGGTGGAAAAAGGATCCTATTGATAAAAAATGGTGATAAAACTCCTGTAGTAATCTGAACCCAAATGATGTGGCTGCCAGTACTCTAAGGGGTGTTGGGGGTTTCCTGCGTGTCCCTGTCACCTTCCTTAGCTGGCGAATATACTGACAGATAAGTGGGTCAAGACAGATGAACTTCTTTGCACTTGTTATAGTGCAGAGGTTGTAAAGGTGTTTTCTAGCCTCCTGTTTGCTCAGGGAGGTGACTATAAGAGTCATGCTTCATACATGAGGGTGTGTATGCATGGCAGCAGCAGATGGTGAAATGGGTGATTTTCCTTCAAGGGGTGAGCTGGCTTTGTTGGGGGAGAGGTTAGCTCTGCTGGCTATGAATGTCGGGAAGACATGCTGTATGGTATATTATAGAAAGATGGAGTCTTGTGTAAGGATTCTGCATGGCAGAGAAGAAGACCAGAGAGGACTGTTAGAAGAGGCTCTGGAGTGGTGAGAGAAATGGGCTGGGGTCAGGACAGGAAGCTGAAGTGGTGTAGCCACATCAACAGGATGTTGTGAGTCCTCACTGAGCTCGGACTGTTCTGATGCCACAGGGACAGCGACAGGTTCCACTCAGGGCAGGTTCATTTGGGACTTAATGTCAGAATGAGAAGGGGAAATGAACTGAAGGGGTCTGCATTTCCTGGGTCGACTCAGAAGTGAAATGGACCATGACATTAGGTCCCAAGGAAAGGTGGTTTGGGGAGAGAGTCACAAGGCCTAGCTGATTCACTGAGGGACGCTCACCACCTCCCCCTCCCCCAAGCCTGGCCTTGTGTTTAGTTGCTCATCACTTCCTTCCTCTGACTTTCTCATTGCTGGAAGAGGCAGCCCCTCCTCACCCCTCTGCATTGACACTTCCTCATGACTTCTCCTCCCCCAACCCTCTTCTCTCCTGTCCACAGCTCCTCATCTGATGTTGCAGGTTCTGTCTTAATGCAGCAGGCACCAATGTTCACTGGAGAAAATTCACTGGTTTCCATGTAAGATATGGTAGTAACAGTTACCATTGTTGAACCTCAAGCAGGTAATAATCTTTCGGTCTTTCTTTGTGTACAATGATATTGATGTCATTTCTCTCAGGGTTAGTTTGAGGCTCGTCTTGTCCAGTGACACTGAAGAACTTCAAACTGGATTTTAACTTTCATCATAAGAACTGGGGGATGGAGTAAAGGTTAGTAAACTAAGGAGCTATGAAAAAGTCATATGGAAAGCTAGTATTTTTAAGCTAATTTAAAATTTCTTCTTTCAAATATACATATCTGCAATTAAACAACAGTGCATAAATATAGACATGTGAATCTGTAATTCTGTGCATTATTTATATGCAATAATAATTACAAAAATTCATTCACAATATATTATCCAATTGCTATATTTTTACATGTTGATTATTGGCTATTCTTTGTAGAGTCGAGCAAGAAACTCATTAGAACAAGTCTGCATTCAGGTGCATTGTGAATGATTCCTGTGTCTTTATACCCTGCCTGGATGGGTGATGCTGTTCCCAGAAGCAACAGGTTATTAAATGGACATCTCAGTGCCATGTGTGAGCTACCTCACTATGAGCTGTTGATCAGGGAGGTCCCAGAAGTTCCCCCAAGCAACAAAGGCTAATGGCATTGGTTTTGGTTGTTCATTACAACTAGGTGGTAAGACCGCATCGCTGAAGACACAATCCTTCGGTCGTAGAACACAGAGAAATCAAGCTGGAAATGAGCTGTAATCTTCTTCCTGCATGATAGAAGTTGCTATGTAGGCTGCTTGGGGAGAAAAGACATTTATGATCTTACCTAGCTGCAAACCCTGTGTGTTACCATACTCACCTGTTAAGGGCATCATCAACTGCTTTCTTAAAGGATTTGAGGTCTTTTCCAGAGGAGGGAATCCAGGCCTGGTGTTGTACATTGGTCGAAAGCCCACAGATGGGGAGGTCATAGGCCCTAGAAGGCTAACTTCTGTTTCTTTGCTAAATTGACATGGTGTCCATGTCTTCTAGTTATGTTTATGTGCCTAGGTTAATGCTGCTTGAATCCTTGGTCAGTAAGCTGCTGTTGGCAGTTGGCGATAGTTAATGCAGAGACTCAAAGTGTGTAGAAAAAGTGAGTTCTCTGACTTAAACAAGACAGTGATATCAACCCCTCCAAGACTGAAGAAACTGTGAAATGGAGCTGCAGGGTGCTGTGAAACACTGCCTTCTGGACATAACATAGTCATTGAACTCATGAACTCACAGTAGGTGTGGTTATCTGCCTAAGACCTACACAACATTGGCCTTATCAACATCCAGTCATTGGTGGGGGAAAGACTCACAAGGCCTGTCTTAGTTACCCTTCTTGTTGCTGTGATAATAAAACCAAGTCATCAGAGAAAGGGCTTATCCTGGCTCCCCATTCCAGAGTCGATTACGGCACAAAAGGCAAGACAACAGGCCCTGAAGCAGCCGGTCACATTGTACTCGCATACAGGGAGCAGAGACGGATGGATGAATGGGTCCTAGTGCTCAGCTCGCTTTGTCCATTTTGTAAAATCCAAGACCCCCGTCCCAGGAATCATCCTACCCCAAATTAAGTTAGGTCTTTCCACATCAATCAATGTAATCAAGACATGTCCAGAGACCCAAGATTCATCAAGACTGGAAAAGACCCAGCACTTTGACACCTCTCTGCTGGCCTGAGCATCCTATGTCATCTGGCTCACCACCCGTTTATTGAGTATGTCCCAGCTCTGCCTCTACTGGGGCACTCGTTCTCATGTCCTACACATCCAGAGCTCTGAGTTTGCACCCCATTTCTCTCTCACTTAACCAAGATGAAGGCAAACTGGAGCATTCACACTTGACCTTTACAAAACAGCTCTAAAGCCTAACCATGGTTTCCTCTTCGTGGCTGATTGGCTTGAGGGGGAGAGGCTAGGACTGGTTCTCTGCTCAGTCTCTTCTGTCCCTTGCCTCCTTGTTCACTTTTGGTGGTCTGAATATCTTCTCTCATAGATTTAAACAGCATCACAGGAAGGAAACATGAGGAGCAGATGGAGTTCAGATGGCCTTGCTTCTTTCCCGAGAGCAGAAAGACGAGCAGTGGCCCGTCCCCCAGTGAGCCTCATCTGTGCCTTCAATGTGGGGTTTCCTAGGGGCACTTTTTGAGCATTAGGTGAGGAGGACCAGAGGCTGTGAGCCCAGTAGGCCCAGCCACATGGTGGTGATGTCAGTGCTGCAGGATCCACGGGGGCTGGTAGACCTCAGAGCACAGTACCATGAGTTGATCCCTCCAGCCATGGGGGCAAAGCAGGAGCTGCCCAGGTTCTGATGAAGTAATGACAAGGCTGAGAACCACTTTATATAGGGACAGGGAGTAAAAACCTGGAGAAGTTTACACATAGGTTTCTCTTCTTCTTGGAATGTTCTAGCCAAGTGTCAGAGGGAGAAGTTGAGTGCTGGGCGCAATCAGGCAGCTGAACACTCACTCAGGTATAATCAGTGATATATGTAACATAACCCAGAGTTATCCTAACACCAAATCCAGGTAAAGACTGTAGTAAAAACAAGTGCAGACCAAGGTCTCTCATAAACATAAACGCTAATCTCTCAGTGAACTTTATTATATAATACATAATGAAATTCTAGTCACTAATAGACCACACACGAGACGGTAGTCCTGCAAGATCACATCACCTGTGCGACTGTGTCCATGTGACTTTGTATAAATTCATTTTAGGGTGTTTCACCATGAAGAAGTTGTCTAAATATGCATTTATCAGAACATATTTTATTGTCAATCATGCAGATTCAATCCAGTGATATGCCGAAAGCTCTATCCATGAACAACCAGGATTTAATTGGTTAAAGAAAATTGATTCAATATTTTAAAAACCAATTAATAGCATCCACCAGATTAAATAGGTAAACAAAAAATATAAATGATAAAGGCCTACATGTACACAACAAGGAAGTATTTGTTAATGTCCCATACCCATTCGGCACGTACATGCACAGTAAATTAGAGAACTTCTTCAATGGGAATAAGATTGTCTACAAAGAAGGCTGAAATTAACATTGTATTCAATAGTGAGAAAATAGGTTTGCACTAAATCAGGTAGACGGAAGCCACGTCTTCTTTTTCCATGTGTTTTCATCACTGGACTTGGAATCCTTGCTGATGCAGTAAGGTCAGTAAAGTAAATGAAGGTTCACATATTTGGAAGAACTTAGCTGTTATTGTTTGTAGATGACGTGTTCAGCTCTCGATACTTTGAATTATTTTATAACTATAACTTCACAGAACTAGTAAGTGATTGTAACAATGTACTACAGAGTTCAGTAACACACATGTCAATTGCTTTTGTGTATAATGGCAACAGACTGTGAAAACTGAAATTAAAGACAGATCAGTGTTATTAGCTGGGCTTTATGCACACGTCTCTAACCATAATAACTGGGAGGCAGAAGCAGGTGGATCTCTGTGAGTTCTGTGGATCTCTGTGAGCCAAACTGGGTCTATGCAGTGTATTCCAGGCCAGTCAGGGCTACAGGGAGACCCTGTCTCAAAACCCTGCAAAAAAGATAGATCAGTCTTGTATATCATTTCCAAACTCCACACAAGTGACATAGTATTGGTATTATGAAGTGACTGTGAAGACATTATATACATTAACCATCAAATATCACAATTCAAGCCTTGTTTTAAAAGATATCTTCAGCACTGTGTCCACAGTGTCTCACCAGAGACTTTCTTCAAATACCAGCATATTGGTATCAAGTTTCTGCATTTCTAGGGAAACAACACAGTGAGTGTGTGATGAGGACTGAGTGTTTGAGAGTTTCAGAGAGAGTTTAGAGCATCATTTACCTGCAATGATTTTTCATCTAGAGTATGATTTTGCCTGTCTTTTGTTATTTGAGCAAAGACCTTTCTGAATGGTTAAAAGAAAAAGACAGAGGCTCATAATGCAAATGGGGAATGTAATTTATTAAAAGGGAAAATAATCACTTGAAAGTGAGGGGCAGCAGATCACAGAGGTGAGGACCCAAGCTTGGCTGATGGCCAGGACGGTCCCTCACCTATGCAGGTAAGAGGAGAGGGGGGCCAGCTAGCAGAAGTCCATAAAGGTGGGTGGAAAGAACCTCAATTTGGTGTTGAAAGAATGCTCCATCCCAGCATTCAGATCTTCCCCTGCACCCAGAACACACCTACTTCCTGGGCGCATGGAAACTCTCACAACAGTTCCCCACACAAACACTAGATTTTCTTACAGAAACTCTGGAACCCTAAGATTGACTTCCTGGACTCTGCTAACGTCAAAGGTGCGCTGCTGTCGCTCCTGTTCACCTCCTGGTAGCACGTTGGGTCCTTCTCTGGCTGTGCTGAGCTTCACACAGCAGAATTCCAAGGACCACGAGGATCAAGCCAGCCATGCCCATCCTGATGAGATTCTCCACAGTGTGATCCTGGGCCTGGGAGGCTGTGGTTGTGGACAAAGATCAGAGCAGACCCAAATCATCCCAGGATAACTGGATATCCACTCAGGGCATCAGCCTCCCCTGTGCAGGACTATGTAACTAGGTTCCAAATAGACTTCTCCTGACTCACCCATTTTATCTTCTGATGTGTTTTTTGATGGGCTTGTGGTGTCGTATGATCCTGAGAAACAAAGACAGGTCGAATGAGTGCAGTGGTTAGGAGTCATGATCCTTTTCCCTGGGTTCCACATTTATTTCCTTTAAACACACATTATTCTAGGTCCCAACTAGGATTCTCCTGACTCACCTGTTTTATCTTCTGATATGTCTTTTGATGGGTTGGTAGCCTTGTATGCTCCTGAGAAACACAGGCATGTAGAATGAGTGAGGTACTTAAGAAACATGATCCTTTTCCCTGGGTTCCATGTTCTTATTTCTGATAAATACTACATTATTCTAGGCCCCAAACAGGATTCCCCTAACTAACCTGATTTATCTTCTGGTATGTTTTTTGATGGACTGGTAGTCTCGTATGCTCCTGTGAAACAAAGGCATGTAGAATGAGTGAGGTGCTTGGAAGACACGGTCCTTTTCCTTGGGTTCCATGTTCTTACTTCCTATAAATGCACGTTATTCTCATGACATAACTCTATGGAGATCATGAATAAAACCTTTCTGTGTTGTAACAGTGTTCCTTCTGCTCTTCCATTTGGATTCTTTGGCCTGATTAAGCTCTGTGTCTGAGTTCATTTGGAACAAAGTCCAGAGAGCTCTGAATGAGAAAAAAATGATCACCCAAATCGATCCCTCCTGTGTGCTCTGCTCAAAATCGGCTGTTGCATGATGGAAACATATTCTTGTGAAAATGAGTTCCACTGGTTCACTGACAAAAGACCCAAGATTCAGCCATCACACATTCTACTCAGGGGCTTCTGAGAGCGCAGGAAGCAGTGATAGTGTGAGACGTTCTCCCCTGAACTCATACCCACCAGGCCCCACGGTGCTTCATCATCTGTTTAACATCTCCTTATCATTTGGAACACAGTACAACCCACAAAGACACAAGGATACACTCACAATGCCTCTGAATGCAGACCCGTTCTAATGAGTAGCTGGCTTGACTCTACACAGAATAGCCAACAATAAACACATAAAGGTACACTAGTTGGATAATATTTTGTGGATGAATTTTGCAACTATAAATGCATATAAATAAATAATGCACACAATTATAGATGAACATGCATAAATTTATACACTACTGTTTAATTGAAGATATACATATTTGGTGCAGGGAAAATTGTCTATAAAAATGGATGCAAGTGGAAATCAATGTATTAAACCAAATAAATCAGACTCAGACAAATCTTGTCTGTATTCTCTCATTTGTGGATCCT